ACTTGGTTGCCTCGGAAAACAATGGTCATGTCCCTCGAACGTAGGAATACCCTTAGCAAAGACCCTCAGTTAAAATCATCATAAAAATCATGGTTCCTCGATGTCCCTCGAAGTTGCCTACAGTATATGATCTTGTCCCTCGATGTTGCCTACGAATATATGATGATAGTCCATTCGAAATGCTAAGATATCCTTACATGTTGCCTTCAATGACCATTACGTCACTTTCAAATTGACCCTTACAAACTCCAACGACGGTGCTACCTACTCACTAATAGTGGGATAACATTGTCTAAAGGAAATGAGAATAGAAACAGTCCTTTTTCGAGTAGGTAGATGTTAGTAGGTACTTGCTCAAAATCAAACTTTCACACTTACACTTTCTTTTCAAACAAAGTTTTCAAAAACACTTCGTAACACTCTTGAAGACATAAGCAAGGGTTAAAACAAAGTAAAACAAAACTTTTCAAAAAAAAACACACACAAGTAATTTTTAAAATGATGAGCAAGTACCTAAGAGCCTGTAGAAAATCACATATAGAAAGGGTGCTAATACCTTCCCTTTCTATAATCTACCCCCGTACTCAAAATCTCGAAAAAAGGATTTTTTCTGTACTCTTTTCCTTTCTGGTTGGATGAAATAAAAGTTGGTGGCGACTCTTGCTTACTGCGACATTTTGCAAACAAAAAACGCAAACCAGTATTAAACAATCGGTTCTGCCATTGTATCACAATGTGTTGTGTACCGTTTCTGTCAAGGTGGTTTATTTTGCACCTTCCTTAATCAGTATTGAAGAACGAACAAGGTTTGGGTTGGTCGCAAAGGATAATGTCACTTTCTCACTCGGATATTCTTTGGTACTCCCGGTCTATGGGAGATATTTCTATCATCGACCACTGATAATGAACTTCCTTCCTGGCTTGGTAGCCCCTAGAGCAGGTGATGTTGCACCGAACTGGGTTAACATATCGCTGTGTTTATTTTATCTTTCTGTAGTTTATGGTTCAGTTGTAAATCTGTTCAGGATGTTAGATTAGATGTTGCAACATTTGTCTTGACATTGTTTTGATGTTGGAGTTTTAATGTTTCCGTGTGTCGCCTGTACCAAAAGAATTTAATTCGGATGAGCATGTCCAAAACAACCTTTTTGTCAAGATCATTGGAGTTTTGCATGTGCATCTCTGAATAAACCCCATAATTTAATTTCAGGGGGTTTTCAAAGATGCATGTCCGAAACGTGTTAAATACATTTTGGATCGGAACATAACCCCTCATTCTCTCTTATGTCCACACCTAAACACCTAAATTCTCTGTTTTCCAAACTACTTTGAGCAAGTTATTGAAGCATATGAGGAAATTTCTGAGACCTTCAAGAACCAGAGGTCATTTCAACTCTCTAAAGCTCTGAATTTGAGTAAGTTTCTCCGAATCTATTGTTCTACTTTGCATGTTAAAAAAAAATAGAAAATAAAAAAGTGTTTGTTTTCTGTTTCATTGAGTCAGTCTTGTAGAGTCTTGTTTTTCTTTTTTGTGAGCCCTTTATTCTTTTACCCTCAGCTTGATTCTCTTTGGGTGAATTTTATTTTTCTTTCTTCCTTCATTTTGAGCCAGTTTGATACAATTGGTCGTGTATCAAGAATCGAGTCAAGTTATTGAGTCAGTTTCTTTTGAGTATTTTCTTTTGTGTCTTGAATAAATTCTTGCTTCCATTGATTATTAGTTTATCTGGTTCTTTTCACTCAATTTTTTGTCAAGTTTTGGCTAAAAAAGGGGAGATGAGTGTTATAGAGTCTAGGTTAGGTCAAGTGTTGTTGCCTGTTGTGTATGCAACACTTTAGGGGTGTCGGGTTTTATCTTGTTTATGCTGTTGCTACTATTCATGTTGTAGTTTTTGTTGGATGTCCTATAGGATGTTATAACATCTTGTATGTTGTGTCTTGTTCTCTGAGTTATGTGTGGCAGCAACTGTTGCATGTGTTGTGTTCTTGAGAGGGAGATTTATCTCTATGTGTCAAGAATTGGTTATGTGTTTGAGGGGAGTAATATCCATCTTCTTCCTCGTGTATACAATTTACATGATCAACATGTAGCTGATGTTGTATAAGTGTTGTATCTCTAATACATTTTCCGTGCAGTTTGTGTTTGTGGTTGTATTCCTCTCTCGAGAGTTTGTTTTTGGATTTTGGTGGTTTTAGCCAAAAATTTCCAAAGGGAGAGATTGTTAGTTCCATGTTTTCATGGTTGGTTAAATTTTGGCTAGGCATGTTTCTGAACATGGTTCTACGTTATTATTGAATAAGATGTTGCAATATCTTTATCAACTGTTATAATAGTTTTACTGTTATGTATTTTCAGTCAGATGTCGAAGGCAGATGCCATGAAATCTTGATCTGGTGTTGCAATACACCAAACAATATTGTTTTAAATCTTGACAGATTTAATTTGATTTTGGAATATATTTGTTGGATATGTTTTAGTTAATTTCGCTGGTCAAGAAGATTTTATCTGAAACAAGGTTTTATATCTCCAGTTGTGCATTAGTTACTAAATTGGATCCTTGAGACAATTTAGAAAACTTTGTATTAGTTGTTCCAAGATTTAAGGAGATTTTGTTGCATAACAGATACAACTCTCAACTCGTGGATCAAGAAACTTCTGCACTAATAATAATGAAGCCCGTGGATTGAAGCAGTGTATTTAAAGAGATGACCTAAACCTAAAGTGCCAACTTTTATCTTTAGTAAAATTAGGGGAAGAAAATAGTATTATATTTTGAGAGTCTCTTGTGTACTGTGTAGGTGTTTGTCACCCTTGTATCACTCGATACATGTGGTTGGCTTATTATTCTCACCCAGAAGCCTTTAGGCAATTAGTTGAGTATTGTTCTTGGAGGAAGCTTTTAAGAAACTCCAAGTATTGTTCTTGCTCAAATGTCTTGGCTAAGTATTGTTATTTGGAAGTGTGATCTTCCTGTTTTTTTATTTGTTCAGGTTGTTGTGATTGTAACCTATTTTATAGATAACCACTGTGACTGAGATATGTCTTGTATCATTGCGGTGATTGGAAGTGGGATGATGATTTCTCATATTTAGGGAGGACCTAGGTAGAACTAGTATTGGGTAGACATTGGGTGATAAGTTGTAAACGATGGAGTTTAGCTTTGAACTAATACTGCTGATAGTGAACTTCCTTCTTGGCTTGGTAGCCCCTAAAGTAGGTGATGTTGCACCGTACTAGGTTAACATATTGTTGTGTTTATTTTATCTTTATGTAGTTTATGGTTTAATTATAAATAAGTTCAGGATGTTAGATCAGATGTTGCAACATTTGTCTTGACATTATTTTTATGTTGGAATTTTAATGTTTTCGTGTGTCGCCTGTACCAGAAGAATTTAATTCGGACGAGCATGTCCAAAGCAACATTTTTGTCAAGATCATTGGGGTTTTGCATGTGTATCTCTGAATAAACCCCATAATTTAATTTCAGGGGATTTTCGAAGATGCATGTCCGAAAGGTGTTAAATACATTTTGGCTCGGAACAGAACCCCTCATTCTCTCTTATGTCCACACCCAAACACCCAAATTCTCTATTTTCCAAACTACTTTGAGCAAGTTACTGAAGCATTTGAGGAAATTTCTCCGAGACCTTCAAGAACCAGAGCTCATTTCAACTCTCTAAAGCTTCGAATTTGAGTAAGTTTCTCTGAATCTATTGTTCTACTTTGCATGTGTATAATATGTTATTTAGAATCATTTAAATTCAGTAGGTTAAAGTATAATTTGTAAAACGTGGTTGTGGTTGTTCACATGGATATTGTACCTTTTAACTCCATCTCATTATATTCAGGGTGGTTGGCATGTGAGACTAACACTATGGTCATGTATCTTTCGGAGCAATATATCCCACAATTTGGCTATGTGCAGACCATATCCATATCTCCCTTTTAGGCTGCTCCCGACACCATTGTCCATCGGGAGCTCAATGACATCTTCCAGGATTGAGAGAATCATATGGTACCATAAGAGTATCAGATGATGCGGGCATCCAACATTTTACATTATGTAAAGGGATACGTCACAGAGTTCTACACAATGTCACATCCTATCATGACACCAAATGCTCTTGGACATCCACCTATGCCAGCTCATGAGGAAATCCTGGAGAACCAACAGGCCCAGGATGACCATGCCACTGATGTCAGCAGATACAGTTGATTGGACAAGAGGCTTTGGACTTAAAGATCATTGAGAGGGGCATTCCTGAGGCGATGACCATCATAGAGAGGATGATTATGGAGACATCGAGTGCGACAGGAGGTAGACGAAGGGCCAATGGGTTAGGATTAGACATATGCAGTAGTCTATGCATTTTTATTTATTTACCGATGTAATCATTTTACATTATGTACTTTCTGAACAATTTATGTATTATTTTTCGGTATTTCTGAACAATTCATTGTTATGTTCGTATCATTTTCCATTTGCGTATTTATTAACGTTTTAACTGAATTACATATCAAATCTTTGTGTTTATTACATACCGCCATTGATATTTTTTTAAAAAAATATTATGTCTAGTGTTTCAGATATGCATATGCGAAACACCTATTGTCACGTTCTCAGGGTGCTTTCGAAGATGCATCTCTGAAAATACTACTGAGTATTTAAATACAACGTTGAAATAATAATAACGTGTAAACATGAGTGTTTTCGGAAATACATTTTTAAAACACCTTGAAAATTGATTTAAAATATTTTCGGAGATACATCTTCGAAAAATATTTTAAAATTTTCATAGACCATATAGGGGTGTATTAAAAGATTCTCATATAAAAATTGTTTTCATAAGAAGCCCATATGAGATTTGGGTCGGGTCGGGTCCGAAAACCATTATATTTAACCCTTTTTCATCACACGCCACTCCTCCCTCCGAAGATTTTAGGGTTTTTGTTTCTGTGAGCAGTTTCTCTTAGGTCCGAGCCAATATCCTCTGCAAAAATGGTGAGCGACTTGTTCTTCAACTCAGATCTGAATTTATTTGCCCGTGTTTCTCTTCCGTTCTTCATCTTTTCACTCTCAATGTTTACTTTTTCTCCAATATAGAACCGTAAACGCAATAAGTGCAGTGTTAAATTTAATTTCAACGATGCATGACTTGCAATCCACTAAGAAACATCTTTTATGTTGTTGAGTTCAATTTTTTAATGGCAGATTCAATATTCTACTTTAGTTTTGTTAATTTGTTGGATTTGGATTTTTGTTTATGATGGTTTATGATTTGATTAGGTTCTAATTGCTTGGAAAGTGTTTATGATTTGATTAGGTTCTAATTTCTTGGAAAGAGTGTTTGTGGTTTGTATAGGTTCTTCAAAACGATATTGATTTGTTAAACCCTCCTGCTGAGCTTGAGAAGAGAAAGCACAAACTCAAGCGTCTTGTTCAATCACCAAACTCTTTCTTCATGGTATAATTAATCTGTTATGTGTTTTTCATCAATAATTGTTTATTTGTAGGATGAATTTTTTTTTTGAATTTTTGATTTTTTTTGCAGGATGTTAAATGCCAGGGTTGTTTCAACATGTAAGTTGAATCCACTTTTTCAATCTAAATCTATAAATTGTAACTATTGCTTAATATAGAATTAACCTCTAATCTGTAGTGAGATTTGAACTTAATGTTATTGTTCTGTTTTGGTATGGACATTGGTATCTAATGTAAATAGTTTTATGTTATGATAATAACTGGCTTATGTGTTTTGTATTTTTAATTTTGATGCAGTACTACTGTCTTTAGCCACTCTCAGACCGTCGTGGTGTGTGGTAACTGTCAGACTGTTTTGTGCCAGCCAACGGGTGGCCGTGCGAGGCTAACAGAAGGTTGCTCCTTTAGGAAGAAGGGAGATTAAATGGTGTGTCATTTTTTTACTTTGTCTAAGGTTGGAGAGCTGTGGTTGTTAGGATTTTAAGATGATTGAATCTATATCTTTACATGATTTAGTTTCTATGTATTAAATTTTGTTTAATTGTAAGACTTATAAACTGCAATCTTTTCCAAGACTTTAATCTAGACTTCTTAATTACTGTTTACTTATATTATCACGATTCTTCATTATGATTTCACATGTGCAAGTATGTGGTGTGATTTATGTGTCTCTTTGCTATTGTGATTGTTTTTCTGTTGAAGTTTTTTTGGACCTAGAAACTCTCCTTTGTTGTTTAGTAAAGTCAGTGTGCCTAAGGCCGAGCGCTTCCCTCTTTAGTTAGGGGTGGCGTGGTATTTCCACGAGAAAAGGGTATTTTGTGGCACACTTATTGTGTGTAGGCGCAAATCAATTCACTTTTTAGTGAAAGGCTTCTTGGCCGCTTTCCTGCGTTAGAAATTTGCAGGTTGAGCAAAAGAATTGCCTTACATTTCATGTCTTCAAATTTAGTTAATTTCAGTCATTGTATTAGTTCTTCACAGGCATATAATATCTGCCGTTTATTCATCTAGTTTATTATTACATGGTTTTTATTATTATAATATTTCATTTATTTATAATTAATCCAAAATAGTTTTTCAAAAAATAAGTATTTTATCCAAAATAGTTTCTCTTCAATCTAAAAGAGAAAGATGCATTTCATTTTTTTATAGTTTATCCAAAATAGTTTTTCAAAAAATATGCATATTATCCAAATTAGTTTATCAACAATAGTTTTTAAATTTACTTTTAAACAATGTTTATAATATGTATATTTTTTAAAATTTTCAATATGTGATATCACATAAATTGATTGCCTTTAATTATATTTATTTGCTTAAAATTTGTTGTGCTTCTGTTTGAGTTTTTTTAATCGAGTGTTGGTATGTTTCTTTAAATTGACCATAATAAATTTTTTATATTATTTCAAACTTTTCAATTACCACAACTTAAATATATTCTACGGAAAAGAGAACGTAACAAATGTAAACAACACTTTCTAGTCTTTGGTAGATATTGATAAAAGAAAAATCAAAACAAAGATGGCAAGTTGTTTTTATCTATTAATTTTGGAGGCTTTTAAATCTTATCATAATTGTTCTATGGCCTTGAACCATATCAAGTTTTAAGTATATATTGAAATTTATTTGAATAGGGAAAATGGACAAATTTTTGAAACTTGTAATTCATCACGGTGGTGAGTTCATTGATCTTGAACAAAGTGTGTATGAAGGAGGACTAGTAGATGATTTGGAAGTAGATGTTGACAAGTGGAGTTATTTTGAGTTAGTTGATGTATTGAAGGAGTTAGATTATAGGGACTTGGAGACAATATATTATAAGGTTCTTAGATTTGGGATGAATGTTTTTGTTGATGACAAATGTGCTTTAGAAATTGTAGTTTTTTATAGGGTGCACCAAAGTGTTGATATCTATATTCAACATATTTTGTCTCAGCTTGATTATTGTGATGGTCCTGTTGATAATGTTGATGAGGGGCATGATGACATTGTAGATGAGGTGAGAAAGTTGCTTAATAAACCGCATGATGACATTGCAGATAAGTTGAATGATGCTAATGTTGAAGTTGATGATGTTAATGTTGTTTTGGATGATGGTATTTCTGGTGTGGAAAAAGTTAATGTCAGATTGAAGGATGGAAATATTGGAGTGAACTCAACCAATGTTGGAGTGGAATCAACCAATGTAATAGTGAAATCATCCAATGTTAGAGTGATGGATGTTAATGTTGGAGTGAATGATGTCAATGTAGGAGTGGAATCAACCAATGTTTGAGTAGAATCAACCAATGTTGTTGAGGTGCAGGATGGGTACAATTCTGATGGCAATGAGAATGACAACTATCATTATGATAATGCTCTTAAAGTAGCTTTTGAGGATGATTTTGATGAGTATGATAAGACGGAGGAAGATGAACTTGCTAATCTGATTGAATATGAAAGTGATGGAAAGGGAAAAGGAAAAGAAATGTGGGAAGAAGATAAAGAAAAATTCAAAGAGAGTGATAATGACAATGAAGATCTATAAAGTGGTTGTGAGAGTGATGACAGAGTTGATGGTTCTTTATTAGGGGATTACACTAGAATTTATGACTATTCTCAAAGACCCTTTTTTAGAAGGTTGCACATATGATATGCGACATGTAAGGAGAGCTTTAAGTTACATATACATGTCATAGGTCTGGATGAATGGTTTTTGAAGGGGCTTTGTAGAGGGCAAATTGTGGCAGCCATATGCAAGGATCCTAATGATCAGATGCTCCTTATAACTTTTGATTGATGACTTAGGAGGTAGAAATGAGTCACTCATACACATTCGTTTCAAACCAACAAAAGGTATGTAAGCTTGATTATTTCCTCTTATTATTACATGGTTATTTCCCGTTATGTAAACTTGATAATTTTCTGTTATGTATGATGTTTTGCAGGGTCTCTTACCTCTAATGGATGGTATTTTGCCTAATAATATGGATGAATGCAAAATCAACATACTCACAAGTCTGAGAAAGAGAAAAAATGAGGGGAATGAGATTGATCAATGAAGATGCATATCTCTATATTGATCCCATCAAGATATTGGAGTAGATCATATTTTAGGACAACTAACAAGTGGTGCTGTTCTCAACAACATGTTAGATTATTTTAATAGTGTTATTTTTGACTCAAGGGCTAAAACATTAGTCACTATGCTAAAAGAGATTAGAACCTACATTATGGAGAGATGGGCAACCAATAGAATGAGGTTCCAAAATGTCTCTGAAAATGATATTTTGCCTAACATAAGAAGAAAAATTGATAGAACCAGCACATTCACCAACTTATGGCTTGTCAGGTATGAAACATTGATTATAACGGGTACTTATAACATTGATTATTTTGGTTTGTATTGATATATTAAACATGTTGTAGGATGTCTAATGAACACATGTTTGAAGTAAGACATATAGAAAATCCAGCAGAAACATTTACGGTAAATTTGAAAGACTACATATGCTTTTGCAGAAGATGAGATTTCACATGACTTCCACGTGTTCATGCATTGTCAGCTATGAAGAGTAGGAACTTTAAAATTGATGATTATACCTCTGAGTATTACATGAAATCAGTGTACATGGTAGTCTACAAGCACATGCTTTACCTTGTAAATGGATCATATCTTTGGGTTACGACACCATATTCGAATGTGCAGCCACTTAAGTATAGAAAGATTTCTGATAGACTAAAGAAGAGGATGAACCTTGAATAAGGGGAGATTGATGGAACTGACAGAAAAATGAAAAGAACACGTTTTATAGTCAAGTGTAATAGGTGCAAAAAAGCAGGACACAACAAATTAACTTGTAAGGCTACACCAACAACTCAAGCTTCATAGCAGGAAACTCAGGGTAATACTACTCAACAATCTCAGGGCAATGCAACTCAAAGAAATAAGAATGTTACTCAATAATCTCAGGGCAATGCAACTCAAGCAACTCAAGGAATTAGGAATGTTACTTAGTCATCTCAAGGCAATGCAACTAAAGCAACTCAAGGATATATAAATGCTACTCAATCATCTCGAGGAAAGGAAACTCAATCAACTCAAGGGAAAAGGCCAGAAACTCAACCAGCTCAGTCATCTCAGGGCAAGGCAACTCAATCAACTCAAGGGAAAAAGCCAGCTACTCAAGGCAATGCAACTCAAGTAACTCAAGGAAAGGGCGAGGCACAAAAACTAGGTGTAAGAAGACCATTTGTACTCCCATGATCAACAATTAGATTAACTGCATCCAAGAATGTAGTTGGCCAAACAACCAGGAGGTCTACTTCAACTAAGAGAATCACACCAAAGAAGAACATCTAGTGTTATTTAGCCTTGTCTAACTAATGATTTTAACTGTATTTTGAACCACTTTGGTTGTAATATGAGCCACTTTGAATTATTTTGATATTATGTAATGTTGTTTGAACATGTTTTTGGAACATGTCAATGTCATTTTGGAATTCTGTAATGTCTTGTGAACATGTCAATGTCATTTTGGAATATTTTAGAATTCTGTAGTGTGTTAGGCAAATTAATTTATTGTCAACTCAGTTATGTGTTATGCAAATCATTTTAGAATTCTATAGTGTGTTAGAGGTTGAAATAAGCTAGGCTAGGCATTATAAGGCATGTGCCTAACCTACGATAAACTTAAAAGGCCTTAGCCTGGCCTGTGGCCTATTATATGCTCTTTTTTTAGTCTGACCTGGCCTTTTTAAAAGCCCGGCCTGACCAGAAAGCTTATTTAAAAGCCTATTTTTCATTAAGGTTTTCAATTAATATATTACATAAGAAGTCTAATAAGTCGGCATATATATGCATATGTAGGCCGACCTATTTAGTCTTTACTATAATATATATGCATATATAGGCAAGCATATTTAGTCTCTTTTCTACATATGCATATATAAGCCAGTCTATTTAGACTATTTTTAATATACATGAAAATATAGGCCAACCTATAAAGTTTCATAGGCTTTTTTAATAGCCTAAGTCTGGCCTTAATTAAATAGACTTTTAAAAAAGTCTAAGCATGACCTTTTTATTAAATAAGTCTGACTTGGACTTAAATAGGTTGAGCCATAGGTCCCTGTAGGCCGATCTGGGCTATTCCCACCCCTATGTGTTATGCAACTCAGCTATATGTCAACTAAATTATGTGGACTGATATGTAAAACTGATATATAAATGGACTGGTATAAACAATATTCTGCCAAACAAACAAACTCATATTAAATTGATATAATGTGATACTCCCTTTGTTCCTTTTTAATTGTCACTTTTAGACTTTTTACATATACCAAGAAAGCTAATGATTATTGTTAATTTTTATACAATAATTCTCTTTTTTTCCCTATAATATCCTTAATTACTTGTCACATGCATTTGACTTTTTCTCTCTC